CAGCCATATGCAGCAGCCTACCTGGACGACCTCATCGTCCACTCAGAGTCATGGGAAGAACACCTATCCCGGTTACGGAGGGTGCTCTTAGATCTTCGACGGGCTGGGCTCACAGCTAATCCCAAGAAATGCCACCTGGGTCTAGCCGAAGCCAGATACCTCGGGTTCCACATTGGACGAGGTCTCATACAGCCACAGCAAAACAAGGTCAAGGCACTACAGGAAACTCCACAACCCACCACAAAGACCCAGGTACGTGCATTTCTGGGGTTAGCGGGCTACTATAGATGTTTCATACCTAACTTCTCATCCATAGCCAGCCCTTTGACAGACCTGACCAGAAAGGGGCAGCCGGAGAGGATAAGATGGACCAAGGAAGCCGACGACGCGTTCCGAGCCCTAAAGAAGTCCCTCACGTCCTCACCGGTACTGCACGCACCTGACTTCGGCTGCCCCTTCATTCTACAGACGGATGCTTCCGACTCGGGCCTGGGCGCGGTCCTCTCCCAGGTCCACGGCGATGAAGAACATCCCATAATGTACGTGAGTCGGAAGCTGACCCCCGCAGAGACCCGCTACGCAACGGTGGAGAAGGAGGCCCTGGCGATCAAGTGGGCAATCCTGGAGCTAAGGTACTATCTCCTTGGCAGGAAATTCACTCTGGTGACCGACCACGCCCCGCTACAATGGATGGCTACAGCGAAGAACAACAACGCTCGGGTCACCAGGTGGTTCCTGTCGCTCCAGGATTTCAACTTCGACGTCCAACATCGAGCCGGGGCCTCCCACGGAAACGCAGACGGACTCTCACGGCTCTGGTCAGGATGGGCAGGTCTGTCAAAACATTCTACCCCCCCTCTCAATACACTGCTCTTTCTTCGCAGGACACCCAGGACCAGGACGACGCTAAGGGGGGGGGGAATGTAGCGAGTCAAGTAATACCACGTCGCCCTGGGCACAAATCCACACCAGCTGGATCATTCATCAACCCCGGATCGCTCACAGCTGGACCTCATCAGCCAGGGAGAGATATAAGCCAGCCCCACACAGGAAGAGTTGAGCTTCATTACACATGACTCCCTGCGCTAACGCTTGTCTCTCTCTGTCTCTCCCACAGCCGAATCCAGCTCGTGACCGATCCAACACCATACTTCTCACCAGCCTTCACCATCTCCCCGGAGCACTTGAGCACGCACCCTTAAGAAGAGCACTCATTCACCCCATTATCACTTGTAAATAAAAGCACCCTCCGGGGCATTGTTTGTAACTTCATCTACGGTGTTTGTGTTTTCCCTCTGCCTCGCTACAATATATATATATATATATATATATATATATATATATATATATATATATATGTGTGTATATATATATATATATATATGTGTATATATACACACACAGTCCAAACACATGCGCAATAGGTGAATTGGGTGAGCTAAATTGTCCGTAGTGTATGTGTGTAAATGAGTGTGTATGATGTTTCTCAGTGATGGGTTGCAGCTGGAAGGGCATCCGCTGTGTAAAACATATGCTGGATTAGTTGCGGATTCATTCCGCTGTGGCGACCCCAAATTAATAAAGGGACTAAGTCGAAAACAAAATGAATAAATGATTTAAAAATATTTCCTAAATCATTTTTCACTATAGATAGGAAGATTAACTGAATGGATTCGAAAAAAAAAAACTGAAACATTTAAGACTTAAAATGAGTCTAATTCCAAAAATAGAAGAAGTGTAGTGCTCCTTTAAGGTCAGTTCACTGAAGGGTTGTTTGGGCAAGCAGCAGTGTTTCTTCTATTGAACTGTTGTGAAAGCCCCTTTGCTGAAGCTATGAGAGCATGTAATGGCGGTGTTGTGCTTGGTGTGGTTTGTGTTACTGATTAACAGTGTTCCAGCATTATGTGTTATCGGTGACTGCGGCTCTGTCTCACCCGCTCATGTTGACATTCCTGAGGACTGGACCTTGTGCAAACAGCCCTGGGACAGATGGAGGGTACGAGAGCGATGGACTGAGACAAAGCCTGGCCTCCTCGCGTATTTCAACAGCTCGGAGCTGAAGAAGTGAATGTGGCAGATGCTCACCGCAGTCTCTCACTGGGAGGATCATACAGGAGAGCAGTAATGGAGTCTGAACGCGTCCGCCGCTGAACTCCTGACAGCTTTCAGTCACCAGTTTACGTACATTTTTTTTTCAAGTGAGGAGAAAGAGTTGCTTTACTTTCTAGGTTTCGTGAAAGCAAACATCTGAGTGCTGAGTGGATATCCAACCATTTTATAGGGGGCATTCACACACTCTAATATCAACTAAAAAGAGAAAACCTTGGGTTAGTTCACTTAAAACAGAGATGCCTAAAGTTGGTCCATTGTAACCTTTGGTCCACTATCCCATCTGAGAAGAGAGTTACAAAATAACAAACTCATTCATTCATTCATGCATTCATTATTTTCTTTTTGGCTTAGTCCCTTTATTAATCAGGGGTTGCCACAGCGGAATGAACCGCCAACTTATCCAGCCTATGGTAGTTTTACACAGCGGATGCTCTTCCAGCTGCAACCCAACACTGGGTAACACCCATACACTCCTGCAATCACACTTATACATCACAGCCAATTTAGCTTAGTCAATTCACCTTTAGCACATGTGTTTGGACTGTGGGGGAAACCGGAGCATTCGGAGGAAACCCACACCAACACAGGGAGAACATGCAAACAGAAATGCCAACTGACCCAGCTGGGGCTCAAACCAGTGACCTTCTTGCTGTGAGATAATCGTGCTACCCAATGTCACAACTTAAACTTAAACTGTGCGTACCCTGATAGAAATCTATGTTTGGAATTCTAAAATGCATAGTGCTGCATAGTGGGCACAACGCTGAGCCGATGTGTGACCCCCCTTTAGGGATGGGGTTAGGTTAATGCATTAAAAAGCATTGGATGCAGCTCAGATTGCACTGCACCAGGGGCCTCATGTACAAAGACTTGCATTGAATTAGTACTAAAACATTAGTAGCAGCTTTTTCCGTACGATCTTAGAAATAAAGGTACATGAGCTGTCACTGGGGTGGTCCCTTTTTAAAAGGTACACATTTGTACTTGAAGTGTACATACTCGTACATCAAAAGTATTTCTTTGTACCTACAAATTTGAAAAGGGTACTAATTTGTACCCTTAAGGTATTAATATGGACCTTTTAGGTACACATGTATACCTTTTAAAAAGGTCCCACCCCAGTGACAGCTCGCGTACATCTATTTCTGTGAGTGTACACAGTAAAAAAAATCAAATGTACACAGAATCCCATGCATATTCTCTTTGTACATTCAAATTAACGTGAAACTGAGTGATCGTGCATAAGCGCAAAACCCTTCCCTGCCTCCTCCCCCTTATGAATATGGTATTGACTCCACTTTCGTCAAGACATAATAGACAAAATAAATTAATATTTTAGCAAAAAATAAATATACATATTATAGATTTTTGGTCAGTTGTACCAGTTTCCCAGAAAATGTTGATTTGATTTCATTCTTCTTCAATTTCCCATTTTTATTATTTAAATAATTACATTTGCACCTTAGCATGGAAACAATGCAACAGTCTTGCTGAAAAAAAACTTTACATCTGCCTTTATTTCATCTGAGAAATATTGCTAAGTTACAAAGTGTGCTATCCATCTCAGATGCAGAAAAGCTAGTCCATGCTTTTATGACTTCTAGGCTGGATTACTTTAATGCTGTTTTCTGGCTGCCCAGCATCCTCTATTAACAAAGTTCAGCTAGTACAAAATGCAGCTGCCAGAGTTCTAACCAGGTCTAGAAAATATGATCATATCACCCCAATTTTATCCTCCTTACACTGGCTGCCTGTTAAGTTTCGTATTTAATTAACTTTAATTAACATATCAAAATATTACTCCTCACCAATAAAGCTCTAAATAATCTAGCTCCTGTTTATCTAACCAACCTTCTGTCTCGCTACTATCCAACTTGCTCTTTAAGATCTGAGAACTCAGGGCTTCTGGTAGTACCTAGAATAGCAAAGTCGAGTAAAGGAGGTCGAGCCTTTTCATTTATGGCTCCTAAACTCTGGAATAGTCTTCCTGATAACGTCCTGACACACTCTCGCAGTTCAAAACTAGATTAAAAACTAAATCTTTTTAGTAAAGCATACACTCAATGCATCTCTTATGATGCATGAATGTGCTCCACACAGATTTCTGCATCTCGTTTATATACAATATGAACAGCAGCTACGCTAATTATTCTCTTTATTCTCTGTTTCCACCTGGGGATACTTATCCTCAGACCCTCAGACTATTCAGCCCCACTGATTCGATCCAAGATCAGCGACGAGATGATGCCACGGTTTCTATAATTGTGGACCAGGCCGTATCCTGAGCAGCTACTGTGGTGGTCATGGAGGAGTGGAGAGCATGAGACTGATTCCTGTGACACTCCAGGGACAGACGAGTCTTCGCTGAGGTCCAGCTTCTCCAGGACCTAGACTGTAGCTCTGCACAGAGCAGAGGAGAAATGGTTTTGCCCAACTGAGCCTGGTTTCTCTCAAGGTTTTTTAATTCTTGACTTTCGCATATTGGTGAAGTTTTTTCCTCTGTCGCCACTGGCTTGCATGGTTTAGGATCTGTAAAGCTGAGCATCCATGGATTTGCTCTTCAGTGTTTGGACTCTCAGTAGTGATTATTAAACCACACTGAACTGAGCTAAACTGAACTGACACTCTTTCAATTTACTATGATCTATTATGTAACGCTGCTTTGACACAATCTACATTGTAAAAGTACTGTAAAAATAAAGGTGAATTAAATTGAATTTTCCTTCTGAAATTACTAGTAGATTCTACAAATTATTCACGAGCAAACATAAAAGTAACATTACATGTAAAATTCTGAGGTAGAAAAACTGAAATAGTATTTTCATAAAGTGAAGAACGAACACTGTTTTCTAAAGTCAGTGCAAAGCATAAAGACGAAGCACACCAAATAACGTTTTTTCATCTTTAATTTTACAAATCAGTCAGGAACACTTGAGAACAACCTCATCTCAGTTGTTGTCTGGAAGAAAATGAAACACTTGAACGATTCATAATACTTTTGTGTTTTGAAAACTGACGTCATCTGAATGAATGAGCTGCTGCTGATGTGGGTGAAACTGCACGAAATATACTTCCAGTATTTTGTCAAATTCAAATGCAAACTTCAGTGTGTGAGAAAAAAAAAACTGTCAGATAAAAACAACATCCTCTACTATAGAAAAGGGATTAGCTGACTATAAAAATATGTATGTTATTTTTGTATTTTAATTTACCATTCACATTTGTGTGTACATATTATATATATATAAAAAGAATTATTTGTAGCTGGTATCGAAAGATTTGCATTTCTTACGCATATATATAGTTGAAGTCAAAATTATTAGCCCTTTTGTTTGTCTGTTTTTCCCTAATTTCTGTTTAATGGAAGAGTTTTTCCGACACATTTCTAAACATAATAGTTTTAATAATTCATTTCTAATAACTGATTTATTTTATCTGTATGATGACAGTAAATAATATTTGACTAGATATTTTTCAAGACACTTCTATACAGCTTAATGTGACATTAATTAGGTTAATTAGGTTATCTAGGCCAGTAAGGGTAATTAGGCAAGTAAGGGGCTAATAATTTTTACATTAAAATGGTGTTTAAAAAATTAAGAAGTGCTTTTATTCTAGCTGAAATAAAACAAATAAGATTTTCTCCAGAAGAAAAAATATTATCAGACATACTGTGAAAATTTCCTTGCTCTGTTAAACATAATTTGGGAAATATTTTAAAAAGAAACACAAATTCAGAGGGGGGCTAAAAATTCTGACTTTAACTGTATATATACATGTGAGAAATGCAAATCTTTCGATGCCAGCTACAAATAATTCTTTGTACCATTGCCTCAATGAAATGTCATTTTAAATTACAACATAAACATTATGAATCATTGTTTCTACTGTCATCATTAATAGTATTATCTCTTTATTATTTTGATCTTTTTTAATTAATTTGATTCTTTTTTTAAACATAAGTCAATAAATTAACATGCTATCTCGTTCCCTGAAATCCAAAACGTGACTGTTATGCAGGACCGACATTAAAACCTCTCCATGTCTGGATTTAAACCAACACGAACCATTTGAAACATGCGCTAGAAAAGCTGCACTGTGGCTTTTAGTCCATGTTTGTTAGTTTTGAGGTCATCTGAACGCTAGCAAAGTGATAACTTCCTGTTTAACAGGAAACACACTGCACTCCTCAAGCCATTTCTTTGAGTCTTTAATCTCGAATCCTGCAGTAAATGTGCGAATGAACATCTGGGAATGTAATAGAAACATCTCGATGTGTCCATTTCTGAGGAACAGCGGGGGGAAAGGGAGGAATTGATCGGAAGTCCATACAAAAAATAATTCATTGTAAATATATAATATATATATTTTTACATATTTGAATATATTTACAAATATACCCAGCACTATATACCATGTATTAACTTTGTTTAACCAATAAGAATAACTGCTTGGGCTTTTTGTACGATAACTGTGTTATCACTGTAAAAACGGAGCATTTTTAAAAAATAAAAACACTTTTAAAAAATCATCCGGAGGCAGTGTTATGTTTTCTACTTCTTCTTCTTCTTCCTCATCTGTTAGTTGTATTGTGTTTGTTTCCTATTTTCTCCTTTATCGTCTCAGTTTTAAGAGTTCTGTTTGTGTCTCTTGGGAAAACGCAGACTCCTGGAATGCCGAGCAATGGAATGATATCAAGAATTCCAACAAAAACGGAAAATAAACGAAAAAGAGGTGGGCCCTTGCGTACAGTCACTTTCCTTGAGGCCTCACCCTCTCCTTAAGAGCTTGGTCACGTGTTTTTGTGCGCACAAGTGTGTGTTTCCACTAAAAAGAAAAATCTAAAATAAAAATCACCTGCGCTTTTGCACACTTCAGTTGTTTATTCCTGTAAAAGCAGCACTGCTGGCGTCTCCGTCTCTCTAGGCTCACTCCTAAAGTCCAGCGGGAGCATTGCGAGGAGTCCGGAGTCAGCATCGGGATCTGATTGGGAAGTAACTGTGGGGAAAGTCTCAGTGTTTTTGAGAACTGGAGGTGTAGCTTGGATGTGGTGCGTTTTGAGAACGTTGGAGAGGCTCATGTTTTTATGCCGCCGTTGATGTGCTGGTATTTGGGAAGGCAGGGCTCGTCCGCTAAGGGATCATGGGAAAATACGGAGTCGTCTCCGGAGGAGCAGGAGCTGCGTGTGTCGGGGAAGCTGGGAGAGTATTGCTCCACCGGGGCACACAGGTCCAGATATTCCTGCAGACACAAAGACGACATGATTAATTCAGGATCAATCTGGATATACAGTTGAAATTATTTGCCCTCCTGATTTTTTTCTTCCCAAATAATGTTTAACGGAGCAAGGAATTTTTCACAGTATTTCCTATAATATTTTTTCTTCTGGAGAAAGTCCTATCTGTTTTATTTCAGCAAGAATAAAAGCAGTTTTTACATTTTAAAAAACATCTTAAGGTCATTGTTATTAGCCTCCTTAAGCGATCTCTTTTTTATTGTCTACAGAACAAACCATCGTTATACAATAATTTCCCTAACCTAATTAACCTAGTTAAGCCTTTAAATCTCACTTTAAGCTGAATACTAGTATCCTAAAAAGATTCTAGTCAAATATTATGAACTGTCATCACGGCAAAGACAAAAGAAATTACTTATTTAAAAAATTATGTTTAAAAAAATTTCTCCGTTAAAAAGCACTTTGGAAATATTTGAAATATAATTAAAATACACATTTAAAAAAAGTCTCTTCAGATAAAAACTGTTGTCTCATTACATTCAAAATAGGGCACTGCAAAAGTATGTGTTCGTAACAATGAAAAAGTCAGTCTGATCAACTGCATGAATCCATACTTAAGTAAATTAAAGTTAAAAATAATAATCTTACTCAACCTTAACAGTAGTGAATATAATTAAACTATTATTCATACCTCAAATATTTATCGCTAAGGTTCACCAGCAGCAACACTGATACAAGCAACTTCCTTACAAATAAAGTGAACTCAACCATTCAAATAATGAGTCCAAGTTTAACCAGAGTCGATCTCCTTCAAAACATCAAGTCTAACCAATATGTGGTTATCGAATTCCAGTGAATCAGTAACAGAACGGGACCACACCTGAATTCATATCTATCCGCATAAACACATACGACCAAAGAAATGTACAAAAGCACTTTTTCCCCCTGGTTCATACCTCAAACAAAAATGGAGCCATTTTCTTCTTTGTGGCTGGGACTGAACTATTTGACTAGAGGAAGGGGGGTGAGGGCTGGTAGGTTGTAGAAAATGATCAACTGCATGATTCTGATCAACTGCATGAACACACGCTGAGGTATTAAAATAACAATAATCTTACTCAACAGTAGTGTATATAATTAAACTATTGGCCTATTCATACCTCAAATATTGACCGCTAAGGTTCACCAGCAGTAACACTGATCTACAAGCAACTTCCTTACAAATAAAGTGAACTCAACCTTTCAGATATTGAATCCAAGTTTAACCAGAGTCGATCTCCTTCAAAACGTCAAGTCTAACCAATATTTGGTGGGGACTGAACCATTTGACGAGAGGAAGAGGGGGGTTTTAGGTTGCTGAAATTGATTAACTGCATGATTACGATTAACTGAATGAATCCAAGCTGAGGAATTAAAATAATAATAATAATCTTACCTCACCTGAATGGTAGTGTAGATAATTTAACTATTAAACTATTCATACCTTAAATATGTACCGCTAAGTTTCACCAGGGGTTAGGTTGTTGAAAATGATCAACTGCGTGATTCTGATCAACTGCATGAACACACGCTGAGGTATTAAAATAATAATAATCTTACTCAACAGTAGTGTATATAATTAAACTATTGGCCTATTCATACCTCAAATATTGACCGCTAAGGTTCACCAGCAGTAACACCGATCTAAAAGCAACTTCCTTACAAATAAAGTGAACTCAACCATTCAGATATTGAATCCAAGTTTAACCAGAGTTGATCTCCTTCAAAACGTCAAGTCTAACCAATATTTGGTGGGGACTGAACCATTTGACGAGAGGAAGAGGGGGGTTTTAGGTTGCTGAAATTGATTAACTGCATGATTACGATTAACTAAATGAATCCAAGCTGAGGAATTAAAATAATAATAATAATCTTACCTTACCTGAACGGTAGTATATATAATTTAACTATTAGCCTATTCATACCTCAAATATGTACCGCTAAGTTTCACCAGTGGTAACACTGATCTACAAGCAACCATTCAGATATTGAATCCAAGTTTAACCAGAGTCGATGTCCTTCAAAACGTCAAGTCTAGCCCATATTTGGTGGGGACTGAACCATTTGACGAGAGGAAGAGGGGGGTTTTAGGTTGCTGAAATTAGTCAACTGCATGATTCTGATCAACTGAATGAATCCAAGCTGAGGTATAAAAATAATAATAATAATCTTACTTTACCTGAATGGTAGTGTATGTAATTCAACTATTAGCCTATTCATACCTCAAATATGTACCGCTAAGTTTCACCAGTGGTAACACTGATCTACAAGCAACCATTCAAATATTGAATCCAAGTTTAGCCATAATCAAAACCTCAAGTCTAACCAATATTTGGTTATCGAATTCCAGTGAATCAGTAACAGGAGGGACCACACCTGAAACTCATATCTATCCGCATGAACACATATGACCAAAAAAATGTTTGTTTTTTTCCTGGTTCATTCCTCAGACAAAAATGGAGCCATTTTCTTCTTTGTGGCTGGGACTGAACTATTTGACTAGAGGAAGAGGGGGGTTTTAGGTTGCTGAAAATGAGTGTTGGATTGAACTCTCGCTGCTCAACACAAGGCAGCTCACATTACTAAAGACCTTCACATCTGTGAGCAGTTTAAGACGAGGGGGGAGAGAAAGCAGAGGCACTTTATTACATTTCGAAAGTTCAAAACGCCGGAGCTTTTGGCATCATCTCGCTTCCACGGCTCAATCCCCCATTTCGACAAGTTCTGACAGATTTCCATCCCTCAATCGGCCGCAAGGATATAGCAGATGACAGCTAGTGAATGGGGAAAAAAATCATCTAGTAGGGATTGATCTGACAATTGAGCAACGCTAACACAATGACCGGTGAAAGCCTGGATGAAATCAAGCGCGTGCAACTCTCGACCTGCATGCTGACCGTAAAAACCGTTCAACTTCCTGTTGCGAAATATTGCAAACCGGAGCCAGTGTTGGCACAGTCTGATGAATCACAGAGCTATAGGGAAAGTGCGAATGCTTTTAAGTGTGTTTATGCATGCATCTTTGTGTGTGGTGTATGTGAATGCTTGCTGGCTTCACCTCGTTGGTTGCCAGAGTGAGAATGCGGTCCAGATCCTCCACCAACTGCTTGAATGTGGGTCTGTGGGAGGAGATGGCATGCCAGCAGTCCTTCATCATCATGTACCTGTGAAACAAAACACCATCACGTCATGTTTGTATTTATTTACTCGTATGCTCTGTTGTGTAAAGCATGAGTGACGAAATCGTTTGCGTAATCAGACATGCACAGACCAGTCTCTGTGTGTGTGTGCAGATTCACTGAGAGAGCGAGAGAGAGTTTTGAGCAGTGGTGGAGAATAAATTAGTATTTTAACTTTACTATTGTGCATAAATACATAGTTTAAGTATATATTTATATTTATGTGTATTCACTTACCGGCCACTTTATTAGGTACACCTGCACTACTACTCTTTAATGTAAATTTCTAATGAGCCAATCACATGGCAGCAATTCAATGCATTTAGGCATGCAGACGTGGTCTAGATGATCTGGTGCAATTCAAACCGAGCATCAGAATGGGGAAGAAAGGTGATTTAAGGGGTTGTTATGGTTGTTGGTGCTAGACGGGTTGGTCTGAGTATTTCAGAAACTGCTGATCTACTGGGATTTCACGCACAACCATCTCTAGGTTTTACAGAGAATGGTCTCAAAACAAATAAAATATCCAGGGAGCAGCAGTTCTGTGGGCGCAAATGCCTTGTTGATGCCAGAGGTCAGAGGAGAATGGCCAGACTGGTTTCAGCTGATAAAAAGGCAACAGTAACTCAAATAACCACTCGTTACAACCGAGGTCTGCAGGAGAGCATCTCTGAACGCACCACACTTCTAACCTTGAGGCAGATGGACTACAGCAGCAAAAGACCACACTGGGTGCCACTCCTGTCAGCTAAGAACAGGAAACTGAGGCTACAATTAGCACAGGCTCACCAAAATTGGACAATAGAAGATTAGAAAGACGCTGCCTGGTCTGATGAGTCTCGATTTCTGCTTGGACATTCAGATGGTCGGGTCAGAATTTGGCATCAACAACATGAAAGCATGAATGCATCCTGCCTTGAATCAACGGTTCAGGCTGGTGGTGGTGTAATGGTGTGGGGTATATTTTTTTGGCACACTTTGGGCTCATTAGTATCAAATGAGCATCGTGTCAACACCACAGCCTACCTGAGTATTGCTGCTGACCATGTTCATCCTTTTATGACCACAGTGTACCCATCTTCTGATGGCTACTTCCAGCAAGATAACGCGCCATGTCATAAAGCGTGAATCATCTCAGACTAGTTACTTTAAAATGACGATGAGTCCACTGTACTCAAATGACCTCTACAGTCACCAAATCTCAATCCAATAGAGCACCTTTGAGATGTGGTGGAACGGAAGATTCGCATTATGCATGTGCAGCCGACAAATCTGCAGCAACTGCGTGATGCTGTCAAGTCAATAGGGAGCAAAATCTCGGAGGGATATTTTCAGCACCTTGTTGAATCTATGCCACGAAGGATTAAAGCAGTTCTGAAGGCAAAAAAAAAGGGTCCAACCAGGTGTACCCAATAAAGTGGCCGGTAAGTGTGTGTGTGTGTGTGTGTGTGTGTGTGTGTGTGTGTGTGTGTGTGTGTGTGTATATATATATATGACACAAATATAGCTAAATTCAGAAATTCTCACCATTTACTTACACTCAAGTGGTTCTAAATTTGCAAGAATTTCTTTTTTTTTCTGTTAAACGCGACATGATATTGTGAAAAAACAGCCATTGGCAACTAGGGTTTCTCAGTTGTGTTTAGCAGAAAAAAATCTAACAAAATCAAACCGGTCTGTGACGATGAGTAAATGTAGTGAATTTCCATTTTTGGGTGAACTATCCCTTCATCAAACTGTGTATCATAAAATCTGTGTAGCAAAAGTGATGAGCACTCACAACTCATTGGTGCAGTTAGCAGGTTTGTCCATGCGATGACCCTCTTTTAATAGTTTAAAGAGCTCCTCGACAGGTATTCCAGGATACGGAGAACCGCCGAGAGTGAAGATCTCCCACATTAAAACCCCAAACGACCAGCTGGAAGAGACAAAAAAAACACACACACACAGATGAGATCATTTTACCAGTACGACACACAGCAAACACTTGTGCTTCAGATGACACTTTCAATCCATGTTTAGACTGTAAACAGTTGAGCCTTTAATGCAGTTATTCGCCGTCAAAGGGAGCAACAGACTCCAGTCTCCTATGTGGTACCATCTCCAAAAATTTGGATGAGGACTAAACCATGTAATGAAGCCTTTCCAAAAAAGAAATCTTAATATAATTGTTGGCGCTAACAACGCAGTAGCTGTTAACGCCTCAATGGAGTCTTTCTGCAAAGTTATTCAGATTGTAGGACGACTCAAATGGCTCTGGACTCTCAAAGCTGGCTTTTGTCCTCCTCGAAACGCTACAATGACACATATTGTCCTGCCAAAACAAACATTAGCGAAAGCCACAGGAAACTGCTAGCATCTAACGGGTGGAAGATTGTGGCGGCGAAGGATTTTTCAACACATGCCAATTCCATGTAGCTTCATCTAAGATGAGGAGGGGGGAAATAAAACACACAAATGATGATGATAAGAGTTTCCACAGAGGGTTTCTGACCTTTGACTCAAGAAAAAAGCTTCCCAAAATAGTCTCCAGTAATTGATTCACTGATTCAAATGATCTGTTTAGAGTGAGTTTCCGGTAAATGATTCACTGATTCAAATGCTCTGTTCAGAGTGAGTCTCTGGTTAATGATTCACTGATTCAAATGATCTCTTCAGATTGACTCTCTGGTTAATGATTCACTGATTCAAATGCTCTGTTCAGAGTGAGTATCCAGTAAAAGAAAATACTGATTTAAATTATTTGTTCAAAGTGAGTCTCCGGTAAATGATTCACTGATTCAAATTCTCTGCTTAGACAGAGTTTTCAGTTAATGACTCACTGACTCAAATGATCTGTTCAAAGTGAGTCTCCAATAAATGATTCAATTATTCAAATGCTCTGTTCAGACTGAGTCTTTTGTCAATAATTCACTGATTCAAATGATCTGTTCAAAGTGATTTTCCATTAAATTATTCACTGATTTGGATGATCTGTTTATAGCAAATCTCTAGTTAATGATTCACTGATTCAAATGATCTGTTTAAAGTGAGTTTTCAAAAAATAAATCACTGATTCAAATGATCTGTTCAGAGAGAGTCTTCAGTAAATTATTTACTGATTCAAATGATCTGTTCAAAATGATTCTCCATTAAATGATTCACTGATTCATATAATCTGATTAGAGTGAGTCTACAGTAAATGATTCACTGATTAAAATGATCTGTTCAGAGTGAGTCTTCAGTAAATGATTCACTGAATCAAATGATCTTTTTAGAGTGAGTCTTCAGTAAATTATTCACTAATTTAAATTATCTGTTTAAAGTGAGTGTTCGGTAATTACTTCACTGATTCAAATGATCCGTTCAGAGTGAGTCTTCAGTAAATTATTCACTGATTCTAATGATCTTTTCAAAGTTCAAACTCACTGAGACAAATGATTCACTGATTCAAATGTTCTGTTCAGAGTGAGTCTCCAGTAAATGATCCACTGATTCAAATGTTCTGTTTAGAGTGAGTCTAAAGTAAATGATTCACAGGTTTCCACAAACTGATCTGAATGTGGTTGAGCGCATGAATGAGGTTTCACTTGAATTATCAGTTTTTGGAGTTATTAGAGAAACTAGCATCCAGCGGGTGGAGGATTGTAGCGGTGAAGGATTTTTCAACACATGCCAATTCTGTGTTGCTTCATCTAAGATGAGGAGGGGGGAAATAAAACACACAAATGATGATGATAAGAGTTTCCACAGAGGGTTTCTGACCTTTGACTCCTTGTATGCAAGTTAAAAAAAGCTTCCCAAAATAGGCCAGCAGAGATACAGAGCCTTGTCATTAGCAAAAAGCTTGTATTTATCCTGCTGAGCTGCATTTCACAATCAATAGATAGAGCTGACGTCAAAATTATTCGCCGTCTTGTGACCTTTGTATTCTTTTTCAAATACTTTCCAAGTGATGTTTAACAGAGCAAGAAAACGTTCACAGTATTTCCTATAATTTAAAAAAAAAAAATTACATTCTGCATGAAGACAATGTGCTTGATTGTTAGAAATACTGCCATAAAATAAATAAAAAAATAAACAAAATAATATACAAATAAAAAAAAATAAAATAAATAAAATTGTAGAAAAATGAGTAAATCACAATCTGCATGAAGGCAATGTGCTTGATTGTTAGAAATACTGCCATAAAATAAATACAACAATAAAAAAATAAATACAATAAATAAAATAAATAAAAACATTAATAAAAATAAAACAAATAAAAAAAATAAATTTAGAATAAAATAAAATATAATAGAATTGTATAAATAAAATAAATTACGTTCTGCATGAAGGAAATGTGCTTGATTGTTAGAAATAATGAAATAAAATAAAAAAATTAAATTAAATTAAATTAATTAAAAAATAAATTAAAACCAAATAAAATAATTTAAAATAAATTGCATTAAATTAATAAATTTAATATAATTTAATAAAAAATAAAAATAAAATAGAATTGTAGAAATAAAATAAATTACATTCTACATGAAGACAATGTGCTTGATTGTTAGAAATACTGCCATAAATAAAATAAAATAAAATAAAATAAAATAAAATAAAATAAAATAAAATTAAATTAAATAAAATAAAATAAAATAAAATAAAATAAAATAAAATAAAATAAAATAAAATTAAATTAAATTAAATTAAATTAAGAAATAAAAGGCTAGGACTGGTTAAACCTGGACTGCTGTATAATAGTCTAGGTTTAACTGTATGCTGTATAACTGTATAAATTGAAAGGCTGATGGCTTTTTATTTGCATGTTTTTTTTATGTAACTATTAAATATTAAGTGTATATTAAACATATCATAAGTTAAACACAATTTTTTAATCTTCTGTAGGTTATGGATTAAATACGGTAAATCTAATAGTTTAATAACATATAAAACTACCCTCTCATTGTCTCGCGACCCCCACTCTTAGAACCACTGGTCTACAGAACAAACCATCATCACATCACTTGCCAAATCGCCCTAATTAACCTTGTAAAGCCTTTAAAGCCAATTTAAGCTGAGTTCTAGTATCTTCAAAAATATCTAGTCAAATATTATGTGCTGTCATTTTGGCAAAGGTAAAAGAAATCAGTTATTAGAAATGAGTTATTAAACTATTATGTTTAGAAATGTGTCAAAAAAAAATCCATTTAACAGAAAAAAAATATATAGGGATCTAATAATTTTGACTTCAACTCAATATCTATACAGTAGCTTTCAATATATAGCTTTCTAAATGAAAAATCTTTGATTGTTCTGAGTTACAAAGGAGTGATTTTCCGCTGATCTTCTTTCCTGCTGACCCGCAGTGGTCACAACACACAAAGCAAAGCATTAGGACTCTGCTTTGGTTTACTCCTGTGGTTCACCCTCTGTGTGTTTGTTTATATAATCATCTGCCCTGTTTGTCTTCTTCTGCTCTTTATCTAGCGCTGCATCTTCTCTGACATGTTTGCCAAATTTATCATCTCTATTCAGTCAGGCCGTGTAACTGTGGCTCACCTCCTCATGATCAATCACTCATGCTGAGAGCACACACTGGGTCACCACGGTGCCCTCTTGAACCCAAATGCCTTAATGTGATAGGCTGAAAATGACTTGTGTGCGAGTGATATTGAGTAGTTGTATAAGAGACATTGCTTAATGGGTGAACGTCAGAAATAAATATTCAGGACATAGATTTCTGCTCAAATATAAGAATATATGTACAAATAAATAAATAAATAAATAAATAAATAAATAGATAAATAAATAAATAAGCTAGGTGTCAAATTAAAATTAAATTAAAATTAAAAATAAATTAAAATTAACAAAATACAAACAAAATAATAAATAAATTAATAAAAATAAAATTAACAAACAAACCAACAAAAATAATTAAATTAAACAAAAAAAATCTATTTAATAAAATTAACAAATACAAAAAAATCAACAAACAAATAAAACAAACAAACAATTAAATAAAATTAAATCAAGTAAAAAATGTTTTAAATAAAACAAAAAAAACAAAAAAATAAAATAAAATGAAACCCAAACAAACAAACAAAACATAAAATTAAATTAAATTAAACAAATGAAATAAAATAAAACAAAACAAAATAAAACAAAACAAACCAACAAAAATTAAATGAAATGAAATTAAATTAAAAACAAACAAACAAAAATAAAGTTAAATAAACAAATACAATACAAACAAACAAAATATAAAATACAATAAAATTTAATTCAATTAAACAAGTAAATAATAATAAAGTAAAGCAAAGTAAAGTAAAGTAAAGCAAAGTAAAGTAAAGTAAAGTAAAGTAAAGTAAAGTAAAGTAAAGCAAAGTAAAATAAAGTAAAGTAAAGTAAAGTAAAGTAAAGTAAAGTAAAGTAAAGTAAAGTAAAATAAAATACAGTAAAATAAAATAAATTACAGTAAAATAAAATACAGTGAAATGAAAAATCCCAGATCTTATAACAGACCTTGCTTGGAAATATTTAAAAATGAACAAATTCAAATAAATTTTTTAAGAAAAAATGAAATAAATTACATTACTCATAAAGAGAATGTGCTTGATTGTCAAAAATAATGCTATAAAATAATATTAAATAAAAAATGTATTGAATATTTATATATAGGGTCACATTTTTATCTGGACAGTTTTCTTAACAATTTCTGATCATTTATAATGATAAAAAGTTAAACGGGCAAACACCCATCTCCAATCTAACATAGCTGTACTTGCATAGGACTGGATGAACCTCAACCATAAAAGCCATGAAGAAATTCATCCATATTTCAATTTTTGCAAGCTCTGCAGCCTCTATCAGCCCATTCCCCTTGGGTCTTGTTTGTCAAAACATGTCGATTTTATTATAATTTGATGTATTAATGTAATCTGATGTCATGTATAGATTGTGTCTGTTTCTCAGCCAATCAAAGAGCTCAGAACCTTCGCGACCGATGATTCAAGCTCCAAAAACAAAAGATTAGAGCGTTTGCCATCAATAAGGGTCTCTTATTTATTGATCTGCACGGCCCACACAAAGAGCAGATAAAAGATAATGACCTGCAAGAGATTACACAGCACACTTACCGCATCTATCATTAGGGGTGGACAGCATGACCAAAATCTTAGATGATAATATCTGTTTTCCTACATTCCAAACGCTCTCCAAATTGAATTTTTGAAGATGGATGCAGACCAAAAGATCACTTTATTCCCAACGAATGGAGAAATGAATGGATGCAACAGAAACATCGAAATGTCTTTCTGAAGTTGCATGAAAAAAAAATCCAACATTTATTAATTTTCCTTCGGATTAGTCCCTTATTTATCAGGGGTCACCACAGTGGAATGAACCACTAACTATTCCAGCATATGTTTTACACAGCGGATACCCTTCCGGCTGCAACCTAGTGCTGGGAAACACCCATACACACACACACACACACACACACAAAAAAAAAAGAAGAAAAAAAAAAGAAAACAAATATAGAAAGAATGCAGACCTGCATGAAAAATCCACCATGCACCAAAGCGTAACATCCGGTCCGTTTCATCTCTTTGAGTAAAAACGTAAGCTTCAAAATGCAATGAAACAAGCATGCATTAGCGGATAAATGCAAACACCGATGACAGAAAACAGGATTATTTGACTCTATGGAAAATAAAAGAAAGGGTAGAGACTTTCCAAAAGTTCTGAAGAAGAAGAAGAAAAAAACAATGTCGGACAGAGGAGTGTGACGGGACAAAGTGAAGGAGAAGACGGAGGGCATTTCCGCGAGGTGCGAGTCAGGCCCGTCTGAAGAGCTTTGAAGCTGCGCAGATTAGTAACACAGCACTGGTCGCAAGTCGAGCGTGAAATCTCTTGCTTTTTCTGTGCAGCGCTGGCCGCGAACAGCCCTTCTTCTTTCTCTGCCTGACAAAAACACTTCCTTGACCCTCCATCACTCTGTTTTTACTTTTTTTTCCCCTTCCAGATCTGAAACAATCCCCTGAACTCACCTGCCAGCATTTCCTATTCATTCTCAAACCACTCGCTTTAAACAAACACACAGAGACTCCAATCTCAGTAGAAGAGCTCTCTCTCCAAATCTACCAGTCTTTTTACCAGTCTCTTTCCAGCAGACACACAACATCATAAGGCATTAATTTTAGGCTAGATTTAGGTTGTGACGTCAGGTGACCAAAATTCAATGTCTAGCCAGCGTCTGTACAGGGTTACAGAAATCTATGCCCCCCCCCCCATTATTTGTGCTTTTTAAAACCAGCAATGAAAATGGCACAAAAGTTTGACTTACACGTCACTCTGGTGTGTATAAACTCGGTCGAACAGTGCTTCTGGAGCCATCCATTTCACAGGCAGACGACCCTACAGACATGACACAAAAAGAAAAGGTCAGAGACGGTCAGCAGACACACAACAAAATCCACACACAAACACACTGACACACACATCTTCATCTGTGCGAGAGCCTTGTTAGCCTGGAATTTCATTACGGCCCAGACAGCCAATAATGATTGGGAATTAAATGCTGCTGGGATGCCTCTCAAAACTCTTAATTTCCCTCAGGAGTCGTTGCGAGCTTATAAATCGAGGCGAGTGGAGAAGATACGAGAGTCAATGGCATTTGGAGAGTTTGAGTTCACAATCTTCTGGCTCGCAGGGTTGTGTTTAGGCAGAGCTGAACTAGTGTAATTGAATCTAACCCCAGCCATTAATCAGTCATCAGTATCGCTCAATCTGAGCTGTTTTAATAATGCCTATAATAAACTATGTTACAAATATTCGTGGCCAGATCTCGGTGACCTTGATAAGAGCTGAGAAATAAATCTGGAGTAAATCTGATGGATGAAGTTTGGAATAGTTGCTGCTAACATTTGATTTTCTGTCGCTAAGTCAAGTTATATCAGTTGCTGTTTTGTGAAACACAGTAACTGGTTTTCCACCTAACCAGCATAAATAACCAGTAAAAATACTGCACAACAAGAAGGAATAAAGTTAACTTATTAGTTGGTAAAAATTTAAGTGGATAGAACATAAAACAATTAAGCTGTGCCCCCCAAAATACTTAAGAATTGTGTTGTTTCAGCTCATTTTAAATAAGTAGGTTAAACAAACAGCAAACGTACTGTTTTGAGAGAATAAGACTAGAAATGTATATTAAGTAAATACACTGGTTTTTGATTTTGGTGGGAATGATTAACCCCCGATGCGACTATAGCCCCTTTCACACATACAGACCTTTCCGGAAAATTGCCGGCAATTTTCCGGAAAGGTTGTATGTGTGAACAGGTCCTTTTTGAACCGGTAAATTCGTTCTGGCTATTTTCCGGAAAGTGAAGTTGTAACATTACCGGCAATTTGCCGGAATGCTGCGCTGTGTGAACGCAAAAGGAAGATTCCCGTAATAAGCGCGTGCACATCTAGAACGTGCTGACGTGAGATGTCTGCTTTAGCCAATCACAACAGTCAGACGCATTTACGTCCGCGCGGTTTGTGAGAATAAAAGCCTTTGAATATTTTTCCAGACACATTTAGCTGCTAGAAGTTAGTCAGATCACGTTTATATGTTCTTCTTTATGCCAACCGTGTAAATAATCATCGATGAGATGCTTATGATAAGCCGTTGTTTGTTTACCTTCAAGCTTTGCGTGTGCCTGTGAAACAGCCTGTGAGCGCCTGCACACGCACATATTATGAACATCTCGACATGCGAAAGTGATCCTGCGAAAGTTGTTCACAATTTTGATCATCCACAGAGTTTGTAATTTAGGCAAATGTTTACAAATACAAGCGCAGCCGTTTAAAGCTCATTTGTGGTGAATGATGTCAGAATTTACCGGTATTTTGGAATGGATGTGTGAATGCTCTTTTCCGGAAAATTTCCGTAACGTCCTCGCCTGTGTGAACAGCGCTTTTTTGAATATACCGGTAAAGTCGTTCCGGAAATTTTCCAGATATTTACCGGTATCACTGTGTGAAAGGGGCTTATATCATAAGACTATAAATGGCTAACTGTAAAATCCTTAATATGATTAGGAATGTTTATTTATTATGGTCAATATTGATTTTAGTCCAAGTGACCAACGTCATTAAACAACAATTGAGACCAACCATATTCAAAATTAAGACTAGGTTGTTTAATAGATTGGATATATTTAGTTTATTTTCATTTAAACCTAATTGATCAACATTCTATTTCATATTCGATGCTCGGTCCCTAATAAACGGAGCAATTCCAATAGAGCCAACGCACCGTTTCAATGCTCCGTTTCTAATAAACGGAGCAATTCCAATAGGGCCTACGCACCGTTTTGGTGCTCGGTCCCTAATAAACGGAACAATTCCAATAGGGCCTACACACTGTTTCGGTGTTCAGCCCCTAATAAACGGAGCAATTTCAATAGGGCCTATGCACCGTTTTGGTACTCTGTGCTTAATAAACAGCAATTCCAACAGGGCCTATGCATCGTTTCGGTGCTCGGTTCCTAAAAATGTTCAGTGAAGTAAACTACTGTATAAATGACTGACCTGTATAACACACAATATGACTAGAGTTGATCATGAATTCAAAAATATGGTCAAATTTGAGTTATATATATACCATTTAATTTCTATAAATAACCCAAAAGTATGTACAAAACAATGAATGTTTGTTAAGAAAAATAAAAGGAGTCAGTTTAGATTCCAAACCAATAAATAAACTTATTATGACTACACAATAACAATAGAGAACTTGAGTAAATTTAGATAACTCTGACTTTTATGCCTGCTAACAACCATAAATTTGCAACTAGGACTATTCCTTAAGGAAATGTTTGATTTCACGTCAATGTTTTACCAGCACTAAATCAAATATAATGATCATTACTGTGCTATCAAGATTCGCACACTCTTTCTCTGCCACATCTGATAAACTAAACGTTGGGATGAGCGAATTGCAGCCTAAACAAGCATCTCAGACTGCTATAATAGTGGGAATGCGATTTAAAGCTATGCTAATGTGTTTAGGTTTGTCACTAGCATTTCTTTCTCATGTGCTCGAACAACAAGCTTTGGAATAAGAGAAGAGGGCAGGCCCAAATAAGCAAAGAGTTGAAATCACTTTACACGCCGACTGCCTGGGAATCTGCAAATCATGCCAAGACTGGCGAGAGGAGGAGGGAGGCGGCAGATAAACAGAGGAGGGGAAAAAAAAAGAAGAGAAATGAAAGAGAGAAAAGGTGAGAGAACAAAAACAGAAATGGCAGGAGGCTGAAAGGACTCGAGCGGAAATAAAAACAAAACAGTCGGAGCTAAATAGGAGTTTTGTAGTTATTGGCTTTGATGGCGTTATGTATACAGTGAGGGTTTAAACATCTAAACTAAGAGGCCGCCGTCTACATGACACTTTCAGTCTAAAACTAGAAACATTTTAATACATTTTGCCAGTTGATTTACACAATATATTTTTTGTGACTGTAAACTACGGTGGCCAAGAGGGCTCAATGCACTGCAACTTAAGGAAACACATGCAAATAGAGCAAACACCAGCAAATAACACAAACATCTTCATTGGTTTGACAGCACATGGGCCGCACAATATATTGTTTCAGCATCGATATTGCAATATGTGTGTCCACAATAGTCACATCGCAGGATATGCAATGTTGAGTTGGGATTCGTTTTTGATCAACACCGCCAAATTAGATCCATAATAGAGTGAAAGTTTATCATTGCATGTGTTTTAAAGGGCCATGAAACCCCCTTGTTTCAGCAGGGTGTTTTCACACCTCTACATTGGAAAAAGTCAGAAAAGTGGGCGTGTCCAGCTCTGTTTAGGGGGGAGTGTCGGAGGAAGAAAAGTGGGATGGTGTGGGAGTGTCTATTTGGGCACGCGCGAGTTTCAGAGTCAAAATTCACACACACACACACACACAGTAGAAAGTGATGGTGTTTAACCTACATGGACATCTGTAGTCGAATTATTTGCCAAATTATTAAATGGTGGACTTTAACTGCAGTTTGGCTCTTTCATTCAGGGAATTCATTCATGCCCCTAGCGACATACGAGATATTTGATTCGAGGAACAGCTCTTAGCGTGTATTTTTCATGCAATGTTTGATACCGCACGGCGAATGAGAAAAAAAAAAAACCTCAGCATTTTCCGGAAACTTAGATGCACACGGCAGGTAGTGTCAGAAAGCCGCGTTTGTTATTACGGTCACTAAATGTGGTGAAACCCCTACACGGGGTAAAAGTTTGGTTGTGGTGCTAGCATGTTTACACTCGGTGCAATAGTTTGTTAGATACAAACAAACTGAATAAACAAAGAGCACTGGACGCTCACTTACCAAATCTGTAGAGACAGGACAATCACCAGCAACTAGAGCCGCGTCTTTATTAAGAGAAGACTACAACCGAATCCGGATCTCTGCGTTTGCAGATGAGAACAGCTCTCAGGTAAACAATGTTCCTCCTTAGACACGTAAGTTATTGTTGTCGAGCGTCGCGTACACTGTTAATCCACACGTGACTCTGAGCTCTCACAGAGAGAAAACGAAACTTAACTGCAGCAAACTATAAAAGCAACACTTCACGCTTGTTTTGCCAACACAACGTGTCGTCTCTGTCGTCTAAACACTTTGACAGTAATGAATATTAATGAAGTTGCACAATAGAGCGCGCTGATTGGTTTGAGCCAAGCCTTACTCATGCATTAATGCATCACACTGTAAGACGTAATAAGACACACTCTGGCACAGACGTCCAGTCTGTACGCTGGAATACAGGCTAATATGTCATGACCGTGACGCAGCTTTAAAAATTCGTTTCAAACCGGAAGTACGAATTTGCTTGAAATAACGCAAAAACAACCAATTTACACTTTTTAGTGAAATATAGGTGTCCTAATAGTGTTTTTAGCAGTGTGGGACACATATACGACTGTCAACAGCTCAAAAAATGTGTTTTGGTGTTTCGTGACCCTTTAAAGGCATTTCAAGAGCATCCGGGCACAAAAACTACCACATTTGTAACTTTAATGAAGAATAATTTGACTGAAATATTCATACAAGCACAACTACACAGTGCTGTTTGACATTTAACTATTCAATTTCTGTACCTGAATACTTATTTTAACAGGTTTACTTACAATATTTTCGTTAAGTCAACTTGTTGCTTTTATGACAATTGGTTTACTCGCTTTAAGTAACTAATCACTTTTTACAGTGTAAAGTGTAGGTGAGCATTAGAAACTTTAAGTTTTTTGTTCCTGCTAGTGACCATCTTGTTTCGACTTCCTATTTCAACATCAACACACTAATAGTGATGAAGTGCCTTTTCACGCATCTTTAAAGACAAACAAAAAAAAAGCAAAACAAAGAGCAAGAAGAAAAGTGTTTAAAGGTAAAGAGGAGTGTCTCCTGATGAAATGAAACTCAGATTTGTGGTCTTTTTATAGTAATCTTATTTAAAATGAGTTGAAACAACACGATTCATAAGTTTTTTTAGGGACAACTTATCTGTTTTATGTTCAATCCACTTAAATTTGTAAAAACAATTAAGCTAATTTAATCAATTTTTAAGTGGGACAACATGTAGGAATTGTGTGGAAGCCAGCCTTTTTTACAGTGTAGCTGGCGTTACTTAAAGTAAATAAACTTACAGCCTAAAATTATTAATTAAATTAACTACATGTACAGTTGAAGTCAGAATTATTAGCCCCCCTAAATTATTAGCTCCCCTGTTTATTTTTTCCCCAATTTCTGTTTAACAGAGAGAAGATTTTTTCAACACATTTCTAATCATAACAGTTTTAATAACTCATTTCTAATAACTGATTTATTTTATCTTTGCCATGATGACAATAAATAATATTTGACAACATATTTTTCAAGACACTTCTATACAGCTTAAAGTGTTATTTAAATTAGGTTAATTAGGTTAACTAGGCAAGTTAGGGTAATTAGCAAATTATTGTATAACGATGGTTTGTTCTGTAGACTATTAAAAAAGCAATTAGCTTAAAGAGGCTAATAATTTTGTCCTTAAAATGGTGTTTAAAAAATTTAAAACTGCTTTTATTCTAGCCGAAATAAAACAAATAAGACTTTCTCCAGAAGAAAAAATATTATCAGACATACTGTGAAAATTTCCTCAATTGGGAAATATTTAAAAAAGAAAAAAAAGTTAAAGGGGGCTAATAATTCTGACTTCAACTGTATGTGCGTAATTATAAAAAATAACTTAAATAAAGAGAAAAAGGAGTGCCTCTTGATGAAATGAAACTCACATTTGTGGTCTTTTTATAGTAATCTATGTTGTGGACGTCTCTGGCCAGACCGAAGTCTGCGATCTTCATAACGTTGCTCTCCGTGACCAACACATTCCTCGCGGCCAAATCTCGGTGTATACACTGCCAAAGACAAGGAGAAAGATAGAAAG